ACCTGGCAGTCGAGACTATCCAATTACTCCTACGAGACAAATAAGATGAAACGGATAATCGCCTCGGGCACGCCCAAATCCTCCAGCTCCTAAAGTTCTGTCTCATGACGTACTTTAACTTCAACGGAACCATCTACGAGCAGGTGAAGGACACGCCTATGGGTTCGCCAATTTCCGGACTCATAGCCGAGGCGGTCTTGCAGCGGTTGGAGTCGTTGGCTTTCCGACACCACAAACCGAAATTCTGGGCTCGGTATGTGGACGACAACTTTGTCGTAATTGAGTGGGATCAGGTGCTGACATTCAACCAACGTCTAAACGCCGTTTTCTCGGACATTCAATTTATGGAGGAAGAAGAAAACAACCAGATAGCCTTCCCGGGAGTCCTCGTTTGCCGCAACGACGGTTATAGCCTAAAAACTAAAGTGTTCAGGAAAGCGACTAGCACTATGCAAGTCCTGAACTTCAACAGTAACCACCTGATCAGTCACAAACGCAACTGCGTACGAGCACTACACCGGCGCGTTGAGGCGCATTGCAGCGAAGTGGAAGACAAAGTTGCTGATTTACGATATCTTCGACAGTTCCTGAGGGCGAGTGGTTACCCGCGCAATTTTGTCAAACAGTGTATGTGCAGACGAGAGAACAAACCACATCCAACTGGCCCAAACGTTTGGCGAGCTCCTCCGTACATGAAGAATGTATAGGAAACAGTCAGCCGCCTGCTCACCCTACTTGGGGGTGGAATTGCGCAAAGGCCAGAAGCAACCATCAGGCGCCAGATCATGAAACCGAAAGACCCACTGCCGTGGCAGGAAACGGCTGGAGTCTTTTATCGGATCTGGTGCCGTTGTGGACCAAGCAACTACGTCGGAGAAACCGGGAGATTACTCCGGACGCGAATGGCCGACAATGTAGCGGCGGTGAGGAAGAAAGAAGCTAACTCCCAGGTTGCAGCTCACTCGACGGGACACGGCCGTATTTTCAAGTTTAACGAGGCCGAACTCTTCGCAAGAGGTAAAAACCGCGTGAGCTGCGGGCTGCTCGAGTCATGGTTCTCAGGCCCGCAGGCCATCAATAAGCGCAACGACATTGCCTGAAAAAGAGAAACAGTCACGTGGGAAGGGCCGGGCCCAGCAAAAACTCTGACGACAGTGAGCATAATTGTCGCGCAATTATCAAGCTTGCATCCGACACGGTCAACGCAATCGCAGCAATTAATGAGTCAAAAGCGAAGTGCCAAGCCATCACCGCACCAATTAAGACCCCCAAGCAGTGGTTACAGGAGCGGTGGTTATAGTACGCATGCGGATGACCGCTACGAAGTATAAATACCGTGCAATATGTGCATGTATCACCCCAATCTGCGCATGTCTTACACTTTCCTACGGTGACCTATGAGTAAGGATTCCCGACAGAATCCGAAACGTCAGCAAAACAAAATTCTTGTTCCACTAATCGCATCTTATTCTGCTGAAGGCTGACCATCTCTCTGAGTTCTTCGGATCTCTCGTGACGACTGAACCCGAATTTTCTTCCACCCACTTATCAAGACGAAGTGGTGCCTTTTATTGATACAGTCGTCTTCGTGGAAGAAATAATTCAGGCGGAATTGCTCAACTTGAAGGAATCGACCTCCGCAGGCCCCGATGCAATCCCGACCAATCTGTTGAAGAAGCTAGTTTCTAAAATGGTCAAGCCCCTAGGCTTATTATTCCAAGCGTCATTTGATACTGGGTGCCTACTCTCTGATTGGAAATCTGCAACGATCACTCCGCTATTCAGTAGTGGAGGTCGAGCGTCTGTGAATAATTACAGGCAAATGAGTCTTACCTCTATTTGTTGCAAAACCATGGAGAAAATCACAAAGAAAGCGCTGATGCAGTCTCTCGAGCAGAATCACCTCCTTTCCGACGCCCAACACGGCTTTCGCAGTGGTAGGTCCTGTCTTACGAATCTGCCCCCATCACTTTAAGGCTGGACCAAAGCACGTAGCGATGGCAAAATGGTTCATGACAGCTATATTGACTTCAAAAAGGCCGTCGACAGCGTCTCTCAAAGACGCTCGCACAACCAAGATAACTTGCTCTACACGAGCAAGTAAAGGAGTAGATGGTCGTATGAGTCAAAGGCTATTCAAAAGAATAAGGAAACACCTCCTGGCGCGGCTGAGAAAAGATGAAGTCAGGAGCATAAACAGTGCTATTCCCATGCACATTGTTGATTCCGGACATCGCGTGGACCCCAAATAAGACTTCAGGGTGATTTATACGGTCCCACCAAACCACCCCAAATCTCTGGGTCAGCGTTTGCTAGCAACAGCAGAAGCAACAGCTTGCCAGTTGAGGAAGCCGGTCCTGTGCAAACAAAAGAATCTCCTGCAAGCTCTCCGCTTGGCATGGCCAACGGTCACCTAGCTGCATGCACCTATCCGCGCTTTTTCTCTCTCCTCCCCCTCCCCTTAGTCCGGCTTCAAAAAAAACTCACCACCGCGTTACCAGCCGCTTTTTATCGACCTCCAACCCCTCCTCCTTTTACCGCGACCCATTTGCATGTAATGACGAACGTAATTGACCGCATGTTTACCTGCGACCCCGTTCCCATATAAATGGCCTGATGAGAATTTATCGAAAGCTTACGTATGCTGGCCAACTGCAGTTCTGAAATTCAACTTTCTTCAAATCGGCGATTGTAGAGCCTCCAGCCTCAATACTTGTTTCTTAAAGAATATACCACTGTAAGAAGTTGAGTCGGAAGGACGTGTGTGGATAACTTCTTCGCTCAAAGCAACGCTGAACTATATGAAGGAGTCGAAGTCGGCCAGATCTACATTGCAACTGAGAAGGCGGGCCTTTATGGGGTTTGAAAAAGACAGCTTTTCCAAAATATTTTGAAGTTTCGTTTGGCCGCACCTACCGTTCGCTATACGGGTATAGAGGCCTTGGACTGTCAGACTGTACCATTTTAGAGAAGGTGCAGATGCGGGCGACAAAATTGACCAAAGGTCTTGGAACGCTGTCCTATGAAAACAGACTTTCGACCCTCAACCTATTCCCCCTCTCCTACAGGCAACCATAACAAGGTAAGATGAGTTTGCCAAATTTCTCAGCTTCACGTGGTGATTCTGTAGGACACTTGGGAGTTC